TTTCAAGCCACTGCAGTGTGTATGTCTGAACGTGCAGACTCAAGTGAAGTCAGAAGCCAGAGCGCCAAGCGGGTCCGTGCTACTGCCGACGACGACGATCACGCGAGCTCAGCGCGAGGACATGATTCCACGGGAGAACCGATTCTGCCGTCGGCGAGTGCGAAGCGAACAAGGAGTGCTGGGTATCGTCCGATGACTCCGACTTGGAGCGACGCTCTGGGCATGTTGATATTCATAATCCAGCAACTGAAAGAAACCATCGCTTGCTGGTAAGATCGAGTCTGCACCTGAATCGGGAACTGAATCGAAGAACAGTATGTTTCTGGTGATGCTAAGCACGGAAAGAGGGAGCAGAGACGGTGCGATGGATATTTGACATCAAGATACTATTGAGAAATTCCCATTGGGACATGAGATGCCCTCGAGACTGGTAAAGATATGGCTGTGGCAGTTTGCACATGCGTGATGGCCGTACGTTCACTTGAAGTAGCGAAGCGGTGCCAGACGACAAGCCCTGGGTATACCTTATCGGCCAAATTTCCAAGGAGCCGGTCAAACGCTGACCACATTGTCACTGTGTTTCTGCATGGACACACGTGGACTGCATTCGCGGGAACGTGTTGCCATGTATTAGCGGGATTGGTTGCTTCAGAGCAGATGCCGTGGGAATGAAGTCGAAGCTGTAGAAGTCAATGCCTGCGTAAGGATTGGAATTATTATTTCCCAGGGCTTTTGTGGCACAGCTGTTTCAAGTACCGCTGAAGTTTTAGCTACTAAGCAAATAGAAAGGACCTCTGAGCAGTCCAAAGGTAGAGTTGAATCTCGATATTGAGAGACTGCGCATACTTCTATCAGCGGCAGTACAGGCAGCAATTTACTCTTCAGACCAGCCTCGACCTCTTCTTCTAGCAGTTTGTTAGACCGTACTTCCATTGACAGAACACGCTGTGCTGATACTTCTCGTAGCATTTCACTATGAAGATCACCGCCTCGATAGCCCTCGCTCTGCTATCCGCCACCCTCTGCACGGCAATGCCAGCAACACCGCCAGCGACGTCAGACCTTCTAAGTAGGGAGATCCCACACTGCAAACCACCGTTCACTATCGGCAAGTGCAGCTTCAAGTGTGGCTGCTATGCTTACACTGAATTCGTAAGTCCCTAAAACTGGAATGTTCTTGGCTAGCATGGTCATTTCTTGGAAAGTCAATCGCTAACGTTTTCTGTAGAAGTGGCCCTGGCAGGATGGTTATCCGGTCACAGGAAGTCAAGAACCTGCATACGAATCCTTGTAGTCTTGATAGGAGGGCCCTCCATACTCAAGACTGATGGCAGTGGCAAGCGTTCCACCGTAGCAGAGACGATTTGTTTCGAGTCGTAGATGCACAATTCTACAACTTGCACGACGCAGCGCTTGTGACGTTGCCGAACAATCAAGTCCATCGAACTTCTCTGACATCTGATCCCTTGCATCCCCTGGACGTACAGCAATGTTTCATCATTCACAGCCCCGGCCAGAACCTTCACGCTTCTTCCTTCTTCGTCATCCTTGCTAAAACCGTTCATCCACAGGTTTCAAGCTTCGATCTCTGGATATCATCGCTCCAAGTCAACGGCCACCAGGTCGAGTAGCGGTGGGAATATTCTATCTTGCCATATTGTTCCGAGGCCGTCTTGCACGTCCCGCAGTAGGCACACATGTTCATGAAGCCTCCTCCCGAAATCCCGAACCGTCACTCCTTTGCTGCTCTGACGCCTATTCGGCCTTCTTGATCATGGCTAGCACCGCCCATCCCTCAGACTTGAGGCTTGGGCCCTGGAGGTCGTTACTCCGGCTCAATGTCCACCAGGTAGTATGTCGGTGCGATCGAAGGTCTATTCTGCTCCCGTCGGTCTTGCATACCCAGCAGCCACTCACGTGTCCCTCAAGCTGCTGACAAACATTCTTGATCGTGAGTCCATTGTGGTTCCGTACGGCGACAGACGCATGGCGCTCACCGCCCGAATGGTAAACATTGGGGCGTAGTAATAGCGCGCATACCGGCGGCTGGCGGATCAACATGCGACCAAGTGACGATGAGCTCAGCGATTGCTTTGCCTCTACTAGCGCACCTCTGCGATATGTGACGAGGCCGAACCCTGTGGAAGCTATTGCAAACGGCTGTGGGTGGCCTTGTGGGTTGATGATCTGGATTCCCACCACAGGGCAGGCTGTTTGACGGAGATCTGAGCTGAGATCTGCGTTTTGACGGAGAATCGTTGCGCTTGGACGGGGGAACAGCGCTTGCTGTACTTTCGGCGAGCTTTCGATGCTGTTAAGCCAGTATTTCGAGACTCGTTGCGCTTGGATAATGTCGCGCAATGGGAGGTATAGCAAGACATTCTCAAGCAGCTCTGGCACATCAAGCATGCCGGTATCGTGTGGTTGGGCTGCTTCAGGTATCGTGAGGTCGATTGTAGTCACCATCTTGTCGGATGTGGTTGTTGATGCACTGAAGAGGTGCTTCTTGTGCGCACAATCGACGAGGTGAGAAACTAATTGAACGCGAGTTAGGTGCGGATCCAAGCGCTGCATACCGCGGTTAGCCCGACAAAGTGTCTCCGAATGTGGAAGGTACGACCGTCAGTTGCACTTCTCTCATGCAAATAAGTGATCGTTGAGAATCATTGCTACAGCTATCAACGACAGCCTCTCAGTAACACCATCCTCCCATTTCTCACAGCATGATGATCGTCATTCCATCATCCCAAGCAGGCCCGTATCTACTGATACGCCCTCGCCACCACACAGCTACCACACTTCACATGCTGGCAGACCCGGCAGCTGGCGCCGGAGTTGAGAATCATTTGTTGCTGGCAATTAGCATTGCAGCAGAACCAGTTACTTGTGTCTTGGATCGCGCCTCCGCCACCGCCGGAGGGTGCATTGCTGCCGCTGCCAGTGCCGCCGACATTGGCTTTGGTGCCGTCACCCTTGTGGTTACCGTTGAGCAAAGGCTTTTGAGGGGCCGACATTGTTGCTTGTTGAAAGGGTTGTTGTTGGGAGGATAGTTGTGCTGTCTGGTCCGCTTGAGTATTGTTGGCTTGGTCGAGCAGTGGTAGTTGAGGAAGGTGATGTTGAGGGTAAGATAGATGTTGGTGCGGATTGATGAAGAAGAAGTGTCGCAGAGCCATCGAAAGCTGTATATATATCCCATTGCAAAGGTGTTATAGTGAAGGTGTAGTCTTCGTCATTGACGGGCATGCTTTACCTCAGCGTCCTTCGTGGAATGATCACCAGAAGGCACTGTACGGCGTCAGTCGCAGAGCACCACAGCGCTATATATCCTAGAGTCACTGCATCGGCCGTGTTGTTTGCGCTGTTATCAAGCAGTCATGTCTCTGTGGCGAGCGTGACAAGCATGACTCTTGAAGGCAAGCAGAATTGTTCGCAGGTCGTTTCGACAACAGTGATAGATCGTCAGGAGTTGCAGACGGTCCTTCTCAATCCTGCTCTCGATATCGACCTTAAGATTGGCCTCAACCCAAGGAACTCCGCGCCATCTCCAGAACCAGCGACAAGTCCAAGGTTATCAAGGGCGGGATAGAACAATACGTTGGCGAGAAGGGTATAGCTCTCAGCTCAGTTTCCCCGGTTATGAACGAAGTCTTGATCAAGTCTGCAGCATGACCGATCCTGTTCGACGCTAGTGACCCCCTTATAATGCTTGTGCCAGAGTGAGCTGAGTTGCCAATCCCTCAGCTTGCGCATGAGCAGACCGTGATCTGCCTCCAAGTCCCGAAGCCTGATTACCAGCAGGAGATCAATCACGCTCCGATCTACATGCAGCCTGATCCCCTGTTCATTCTGCGTCGTATCAAGGAGATCAAGATATTCGTCACGCTCGATGCCGGCGTCCACCAGTGGGACTTAAATATGCACCGTAAGGACTGCGTCCATCGCGGCGTGGCTTTCACCAATATCACCCCGTGCTGGCCATGGCGCTGGGCAAAGTAATATCTCCCTGGCCTGGTGTTCAACCAATCTATCCATTACATGCCCGTCGAGGAGAAGCGACCCGGAACTAGTGAGACCAGCATTGTTCTAGCGTTCTCAGCGAACGACACACCGCGAGACGGTGCTAAAAAATCGGGACACGCAAGTCTTCCTGCCAATCATCTCATAAGGTCCGCCGGTAAGTTTGCGCGTTCCTCCGCTGGATGCTTATCCCAGCATCGCCGAAACCTGCCACGAGGCGATGCCGTCGGCTTCAGGCATCTGTGAGCCTTCGCATGGTACGGAGAAGGACGCGTTTCATAGTTTCGTGCTCAAAGGAGATAAGGGATTAATATTCCTTCGCAACCTGAAGATCGTCGATGTCACGCTGGTATCGCTACACCACATCCGCTCTTGCGACTTCACCATCTGCAGAACCGATTACAGCCGCAGGGGCCAGAGTTTCACTAAGCTTGAGCGAGTCGGCAGATCCGGTATGACGAGCCTGAACGAGATCCTGCTGGTCTTTGGACGGGACGTCCAGGATATGCCTACTGAGGAGTGCTGGCCTTTCCCGTCGACGAAGCGTTCGAAGCAGTGGTCCGTCAGTGATCCGCCACTGGTGAAAGGGCCTGACAAGTTCGCCTTCCTGCCAATCCAAAAGTTCGGTCTCATGGTGCAAACGCTCTGCCCTGCACAAGGTTCATCCTGGTTGACATGCCTCCAATTCCTGTTGCATGCGGACTTCATACACGTTGGAGGACGGCAGGACATCCTGTGCGATCCAGAATAGAACAGGTGCCGTACAATCGTCCCAGCACCACCATAGCTTTCTCGAGGCGGTGCAGTCACCGTCGTGCGCTGAAGAGGGCTTGTTCGTGCTCAATCATGATATCGCCGCTGATTGGTGCACGCCTCGGACCCAATCTGGCTTTCCCGGACTGGACTCATGTAAAGATTGCGGCTCTTCCCCGGTCCCTCGAACCCTGGATCATTATCCGTAGATGGACAGTCTTGCAAACAATGGGTGAGTGGTCCAATGGTAAGATACCGTCGCCTCCCCCGGCGGCCTCACTTTAGAGGCCCCGTTGCAATGCAAGCCATCGGGGGCGGCGGTGATACTGGTTCGAGTCCGGTCTCATCCAAACTCATCTTTTTGCTTCCTGACCCTTAAACGGAGGTGTAGCAAGTTGAAGCCCTTCCAGGACTTTTGCTCTAGTCGGATGATCTGCGGGCTGATTGTACGCAAGTATAAGATGCATACTGTAATGATTTGTTTGCCGGGTGAGTGGTCCAAGGGTAGCGTACTACGGCTGCGGTGTCCTCACATAGAGGGCCAGTTCCCGATTGCTGTGAGAGGCAGTAGTGATGCGCGGTTCGAATCCCGCCTCACCCGAACATAACTTTTGCTTTTCCAACGCTGAAGCGTGGGAAGTGAAGCGATCAAGCTCTATTTCTCGCGCCGGAAGATCTGCGGGCTGGTGTCATGTAAGTATAAGATGGCTTCTATGGTGATGTGTTCGATGGGTGAGTGGTCCAAAGTGGCAAGGGTACTCAGGTAGTGCAGGATCCCTCTGCGGTGACCTGAAACCGAGTGATGCGTCGGCGCGACACCAAGCCTGGCCCGAACAATCTCTTTTGCATTCTTCACATCTTCTATCGGCATTTCTAGCTGGTGCTGAACCGTCCGCGAGATGTACCTTTCAACTGTGTCTGCACCTCTTTCAACTTTTGAGCTGTGGTGAGTAAATGTCCCGTGAAGACCTGAGTCGAGAAGCTCTGCAAGATGAGTACCAAAATCATACACAAATCTTCTATACATACCACACCCCTTCCCACAAACCCACACAACCTGCCCAACGCCTCGCTGCAAACACTTTCATATTCTTTACAAACTACTACCCGCCCGCTCATAAACCCACATAGCCCTATTCTCCGTCTTGAACACCTCATTCTCCCCTCCCGTCCCCACTTTCCCTTTACCCTTGGGGAATTTCTTCCAGCCCATTCCGTGACCTCTCTCCTTCCATAAATCCTAAAACACAAGAAAAACACAAGTCAGCATATACCACAAACAAACCCAGCCCCAAAACCCTCCACCAAGATAGATAGTGAAAATAGAATACGTACAATCATATCAGGCATCCTCTCCATCGCCTTCCTCCTCACCTCCAACCGTGTCCCCAGCGTCCTCTCCCACAACTTCCCCTTCACCCGTTGGCCTTCCCCGGTCCCTTTCACACGTAACCCATGCTCGACCCTCTTCCTCAATTTCTCCTCGGGGTGTTTGGCCGACATGGGCATGAGGGGTAGTACACCATGTTCCTGCGCGAGTTTGAATAGGTCGGCTTGCCGACGGAGAGAGTAGTGTGGGCCGTGCCAGCGTTGGGTGCGTGGGTTGAGGAAGGGGGTGAAGGGGTTTGTCTTTCGGCTGGGATCGGTGGGAGGGGGGGTGGTTTGGTTGGTGGTGGTGGTGGGCGGGAAACGGGTGAAGAAGTGGAGGAGGCGGGGGGGTAGGGATTGGGCGAGGAAGACGTGGGAGTATGAGATTGTTATGGCCATGGTGGGGTGGGGTGTAATGAGGTTGGAGGTGAGGTGGTCGTACAGTACTTTCTACATGCGGAGAGGTGATGTCGTTCGGGAGTGGTGGATTAAGGTTTCGGGTCCGGCCGCGTGGGAGCTTGACGCGCGCATCGTTTCGTGCCTGGAGCTTCCACTTGCACTACACACAAACACATCTTCTGCCACACGACTTGACGAGATTCGCGGAACGGCTCACCAACACTTCCCCATCACCGGATAGAACGACCACCCACTCACACCACCCACCACATCCCCACCAGAGCGACCACACACACACCCCCAAACCAAAACCCGCGACCATGTCCGATCCCTCCTCAATCAGTACACCCCCCCCCACCACCCCCATATACCCCCACCCACTAACACATAACCCACAGACGGCGGTGCCTGCGTAGCCATGGTCGGCAAATCCTGCGTAGCCATAGCCTGCGACCTCCGCCTCGGCCTCCAAGCCCTAACAGTCTCCAACAACTTCCCCAAGATCTTCCCCTACGGCTCGTCAACTTACCTCGGTCTGACAGGACTAGCCACAGACGTCTCCACCGTTTCAGAGCTGTTCAGGTATAAAGTGAATATGTATCGGTTGAGGGAGGAGCGGGATATTGCTCCCAAGACTTTTGCGCATTTGGTGAGTAGTAGTTTGTATGAGAAGAGGTTTGGGCCGTGGTTTGTGGGGCCGGTGGTGGCGGGGATGGAGGAGAAGACGGGGGAACCGTTTATTTGTGGGTGAGTACTTTCATTACACCCCTCCTTTCACCCTACACTCTGGACCTACACCTACACCCTCCTCCTCGCTTCTTTTCCTCTGGTTGCTGATCTAGGTGCTGGTATAGCTTCGACAGCATAGGCTGCATAGACTTCGCCCGCGACTTCATCGTCTCGGGAACAGCTTCGGACCAACTCTTCGGTACCTGCGAGGGATTGTGGGAGCCTGATCTCGGACCGGAAGACTTGTTCGAGACGATCTCCCAAGCTCTCCTCAACGCTGTCGATCGAGATGCACTTTCGGGGTGGGGAGCACACGTCTACATCATCGAGAAAGATAAAGTGACGAAGAGGCTGTTGAAGGGAAGGCAGGATTAGGTGGGCGTCGAGAAGCAGGCAGAAGAAAGGGCGAGAAAAAAGAGAGAGCAGTGGATGGAGGGTGGGACGGGAAGGGATTGGAAGGATGAGGGAAGGGTGGTGTACGATATGATGGTGCTTCAGAGTGGCATTGCTCGTGGAGGCGTTTGGGGCGCTACGGAGAGGTACGATGCATGGTGCGCGCAGTGGGATGAGAGTGGAGAGCGGGAAGTATTGTCTTGCTTGCTGCCACCCATGCGTGTGAAAACACAGTACTGAAATGACTTGTTGCTCATGATTACTTGTCTGCAGCCTGATGGCCGTCAAGCCGTGCCCCACTTTCGACAGAAGATCGTGAACACGACGCAGTGTTACCAGCGTAGAATGGTTACCACTGCTGGGGGTACACGTTGTCGGCTACAGGCAGGCCATATGTGAGAGGAGAGGGATGTGAGACACTGATTGAGTGTTCAAGGTAATATGCAACTTCGTAATCCGTATACCCATCCATCAAGAGCTGCGATGTCACTCGGAGACCTGATCGTCGTGAAGGAAGGCCTATAGACGGTGGGACTACTCCCTCTCGTCGCCAGTGGACAAGATCGTGACGAATGCTTATTCCCTGTTGAGGTAGCACGCTAGGATGCTGGCGGAAGTGGCGGCTCGTCAATCGCTCTTTGAAAGACCGTCGTACTCCAAATGTCTGTGACGGACCTTTGAGCAGTTACAGTGGGTAAGTATAGTAGCCTGTGAAAGTGCGTTGACATTCTACTTGAAGTTCCATATCAGGTTGTTCCCTTCCACTACTAGGAGATACCTTGCAGGTCTTGACACTGCTTACCAGTACCGTTCGATGGAGCACCATAAGATCCCAGCAAAGCTCGGAAGCAGCAGGAGGACGATCTCCAAAGGATGGTCAGCTTCACGAAGCATGGCACACACCGCAACCATGCTGGAAATGACGCAGGACATGTTGTTTCTACCGCGGTTTCCGGACTCTCCCACGCCGAAGGGCTGTGGACGAGTATCCCAGGGACCGACACGAGATTGATTGGAAAACACGGTGTTGTTGAACCATACGGTGGTTTTCCGCACAGGGTATAACTGTGCGCACTGCGACTGAAGCGGAAGGATGACATTATCCCAAGTCCATCTGATGACAAATGCGGACCAGTTCGTGCGCTGGGACATATCTCCCGATTGTTGCTGGTTTTCCCAACGAGTCTCGACCTTGACACGATACCACAGGTCGGACCCAGGATTCCTCTTTAGGTGAAGGTACAATGTCCCCTGGTTCCCCGCCTGTGGAATATTCATGCAGTGCAAAGGTATGCTTCGGTGAGTTGTGTTGCATTCTGGATATACGTATCGATGCGTAATGGCCAGACCCTTGTTGTTTATCTTGTGCGAGAGGATACACTCTACCTGCACTCCGGGAAGCATTGATTCTTTCACGTTACCGCTGCCACTGAAGTCGCTCGGTTGTCGTGCCAGCACGCTAGAGTGGCTGTCCGCCAGGGTGTCTAGCCGCCATGCAAGTATTGATACATCGTTGGACTGTCGGATGATTGCCTCTTGCAGACGCAAGAAGGCCTTGTCGCCCTCTCCGTAGAGTAGCGGCATGTTGACGTTGAATATGCCAAGCAGAGCATATGCCGTGTCCTCCTCTCGCGTGGTGACACGATTGGAAGCCCAGCTCATTCGCTCAGCAACACTAACACTGTATATTAGGTAAGGCTTCTGGACCCATTCCAGCGCGACACCAGACGCTTGTGAAATAAGGCTAGCCAGCTTGACCCGTGTACCCAGACAGATGTTGTTCGCATCATAGAAGAAGACTTGGCTAGGAGCAAGCAGCTCTTGCAAAGTCCATCCTCTTCGGAACCAACGGCTCTCAAGGAATGCCTGGACGTTGGCATTGCAGTCCCGACCCTGCTTCCACCGTCCTTGGACCGTTTCCCCGAGCTCGGTAAGAGGTTTGGCCGTGACGTCTTCCATGAAGACGTAGCACTCCGCGGACTGCCAATACCAGGTGAACATACTGTTTATAGTCTCGCTAAGTTCGGCCGAACTGGTCTTGTCCACGCAACACGTGTCAATCCAAGTCCATTTGAATCCTCGGCTCCTCGAAAGGCGGCAGCACGTCTGAATTTTCCGCCATCCAGCGCCACTGCAGTCGTAGTTACCAGACAAGAATGCTTGGTGAGAGACTTCCGGATTACTGCGATCCTGACTCCAGCAGTGCGAGAGTATGCTATATTTCACCTGCCTGGGGTCAATGAACTCCTCGAAGGTCAGTGTGGTTGTGTTGAGCAGCCGCATTGTAAGTGTTTGATACGGGTAGTCGGGTACTGGGATTATTTTGGGTAGGACGAGAAGAGTAAGAAGAAGGTAGAAGACTGAGGAGAGGTCTATCAACATTCGTAGCACAAGGCTGTCGAAGCCTCAGCCTGATGAGCTACGCCACGCCACAATACCTGCAGATTGTGGAGCCAATGATGACCTTTCGCCAAGGCTTTGTGAGACCGGCATGCGACGCATTGGCAATAGTAGACCAGACAATCAAGAGTGCTTTCGAACGTCACTCCGAGAGCTGATTAGGCCCGAGGCAGTAAGCGAGGCAATGAAGCGATTTCTGAAGGGAAACCTTGAAAGCCAGCCGCAAGATCTGAACGCCGTTTGAGATCAGCCACTCCTTCACAACACAGGGTATATCACGCACTTCAGGCGAGTGATACTCTCCAGCATGAT